TTCAATTGTGGCCAAATCAGATTTGAATGAGTTCTTTGACCTAGACATCTTGAGAACAACACTTAAAACCTATAGAATGAAAGTTTTTATGAAATACTGTTACTATATCTTGATGGAAATTTTACTTTGTAGTGAAGAGCCAATGTTTTACTTTGTATTTTGTATACAAAAGAGAGTTTTAAAAGTTCTTAAACCTATTTTGCTGCTTGATACTTTGTGGTATTTTCTGTTACTATGGTTTCTTTGTGTCATGGTTCTCTTTGGAAAGTTTTTGAAAGTCAGTTTGGAATCAGGCAGGTTTTATATCAATTTAGATATAACTCAATTATTAAGTTGTACATATTTTATAGTGCTTCCCACTATTAAGAGTGTCTTCTAGATTTTGTTTTAGTAGGTCATTGAATTCTTTTTACTTTATGGAGCAATAAGAAATGCATGAAGGAATTCGATTTTAGAGAGGCTGTCTTGCATGTATATATCTAGGCATTGGCATTTAGAGTCTATAAAATAAATTGGCAGTGAATGTTTTATTTACCTGTTAGAATCGCAGCCTGATCATCAAGTAACATTTTTGCCAGATATATTGGAATATACTCCATGGCACAGAGATGGAAGTATAAGGCATTTAATCAAAAATATTTGTGTGCAGACTGCATGAAGATTTTAATGTCTTATATGACAATCTGCATGTATAATTTAGAAACAAATTATTCAAGAGGTAAAGCTTGTCCACTGTCATGCTTTTTTTATGGGAAAAATAATTCACTTACTGAAATTATTTTAGAAGTGAAATTGTTATACTTTGTCTGCATTGCCAAGCTTTTTGATAAAGCTGGCAGCATGAATGACAGCCACACACCCAAGGTTAGACTGCAGCATTGGTTTCTCTCTGGCTGTCTCTCTTTTTAAGCCTCTCTTTCATGTGTAGCCAAGTGAAAGTCTCCAAGTGAAATGTAAGCTCTGTGGATCCTCAGGAGCCTCCGCCTGATGAGAGGATCCAGAAGAAAAGCAGCAGTTTGGAAAGGCTGCTGAAGGCTCAGAGGGCAGAGGGCCCGGGTGATGACACGACTCTGCAGACCTTTCTAAGCAGATCAATGAGAAGGCATCACCTCCCTGGGCTCCGCGCGTATTTTATCCAGAAGAGTGGTCCTGGGTTTTCAAACCAATTGTTTTGGCTTTATCCTTCAGATGTTGCAGAAGGAAAACGTGTTCTTTTATTGCTCTTCCAAGTCGTTTAACCGTTTATCCTTAATCATCTGCAGTCTGTGTGGGAATAAGTCTTCTAAAGATCACTGAACTTTGCTTGATTTGAAATCAGAGTAGAATTCATTTTATTTAATGTGGGAAACGTTCTTTGGAGAAACTTGACACAAACTGGCTTTTTAGTGACTTAGAATTTAATCAAAAGAGAACACCATAGAAAAACACTGCCAGATGTACAAATGTCTGTTCATGGGTTAGATTGCCATAAGCTGTGTGATTCTTTCTCTGTGGTTACTGATCATTGAAATAACCATAGCAGTCAACATTTTGCAAGTCAGTATGAATTAATGAAGTTTTGGTTGCATCACAAGGATGTAACCTTAGGCTAGCTGTAATGTGTATCATTGTTATCATAAGTTTTCTCCTTCCCACTTGTTCTGTTAAGAATGATGATTTTTAGAAGCATTTTTAATAGGTTTGCCTTGTGGAAAAGTTAATAAGTCCATTAGACCACTGGTGTGTGTGGAAGCCATCTATAAAGAAATAAATCCCCTTATTTCCCACATCAGCATATTACAAAAGAGCCATACTGTGGGTCATTTGGAATTTTACAGATCTCTTCAAAGAGCAGTTCAGAATGGTTTCTCAGAGTGCTAAATCTGTATCTTGGTGCATGAATTTGGCTGGCATGCTTTTGGGCAGAGTGGGCCAAGTAGAGCTAATTGAGGTGGGGAAAAATCGAGAGAACAGGCCATAATGATGAATAGAGTTATTTGTCACTGAGTTTGTAATAGGATTTCCAATTAATTCATGCAGGCTTCCAGTGCCTTACATTAGCCCTGTCAAGATGAACTACTGCCACATCTAAAATGCCATCCCCTATTAAACGGTGCGTGTCGGTGAATTTGTAATTTCTTCTGTTCAACCAGAAGATGAATAGATTCTTTTTAGAAAACAAATGTGCACTTCAGAAATGCACATTTCAAAATTTTGAATGCTTCCTAGGAGGAACATTCTTTGCATTGTTATACAGTGAATATGTATTAAAAATGCAGTTGTTATATGAATCTATCCAAAATGAAAGCATTCAGCTGGGTAGAGACAAGACACCACAGTCATTTCAGTGATGCTCCATTTCAGTGATGACCAGGCTTTTTACGCCGGGTGGTGGTGGTGGTGGTGGTGACGATGGTGGTAGTGTGGTGGCGCTGGTGCTGCTGGTTATAGTGTAGTTTGTGCGTGTAGCCTCTGTACCATTCGAGGAGATTTATGCACACTAATTTGCTAAATCTGCACAAACAACCAAGTTATATTAATGCACAGAGAAGTTAACCTGCCCAAGATCACACAGCTAGTGTCTTCTGAGATTCAAGCTGCCAACCAGCTCCCTATCCTCCCTGATCAGTCTCATCAGTTGCATTTCAGGAGATGGTTTAGTTCTCTTGTCAACTCTTTACCTCTCCCTGACAATAATACTTACTGCTGTATTTATTTACAGCTGTTCTTTCAAACTTATCTTGGGAAATATTGTTAAGCTGTGTTAACTAGGCTTGAAGAAATACGCAATACAGAAGAGAATGTAGTGAAGTGTAGATGAGACTTCAAGAAATACATAATATAGAAGAGAACGTAGTGAAGTGTAGGTGAGGATGGACCACAATCAGAACTCTTCCTTCCACAAAGTTGGGCACTGAATGGACTGTGACCACAGCTCATGACATTATAAAGGATGAGAATTCCTGGGTGGCCTTTTTTTCTGGAAGAACAGGGCTCAGCACGGTTACTTAGACAATTGTGTCAAGGCTGAGTAAGAAGAGTTGTGCTATTAGAAGCCAGATCTGAAGGCAGGATCCAAAAGTTAGAGTGCTTTTAAGGGCATCAGTACTTGTGAGAGGCTCAACTCCTGTCTTCCAAGGATGTTAGTCTCCAAACACCGCTAGCTTACTAACCTCAGCATCACATGAACCAGGCCAAGGCTTGCTGACTGCCAGTAGCATTTTGAGATCAAAAATTACTATTCTTCTTAAGCCAGACAAAAATTAACAATGAAGTTTGGCTTATGAGTAGGCCAAACTCTAAATCTTTGATGAGAAAACAAGCTTCTTACTTAAAGTCATATTACGGATTTCTGTTGCCATCAAGGAAGCTATAAAACTTAGATCTACATTGAAGGGAGATGGAGAAGTAGTTGCTGTACCTATTGATCTATTTTATTGGAAAAATTAAACTTAAAATTCAGTGGCATAGGCCTGTGCCATGTACACTGTCTGCCTGCCTGCCTACCTTGTGTCTGTTTTCCGTTCTACTGCCAGACGCATCTGCCTGACACATGGTCTTACCACGCACATCTGGGCTTCAAACCTGACATGCCAGCCTAATGTCATGAACGTGTCATTCAGGGCCCTTCATAAATTGGCCTCTGCCTGCCTCTCTTGTTCTTAGTACTCCTTAATTCTCAGACTGGCATATTGCATTCTTTATAAACCCTAGTCCTTCCACACCATGGGCTGATTCTTGCTTCCATGCTCTTGCTGGTGGTGTGCCCTCTGCCTGGAAGGCCCTCAACTTTTCTTTTTATTCATCCACTCCAACTTTGGCTGAGGCTAATGTGTCCTTTAAGACTTGGGGGAAGTATTTCCTTTTCCCATCCCCAAACCTCAGAGTTCTCCCAATGTGTATTATCTGTATCATCACAATTACCACCCTGTTTCATGGTTATTGCTGATGCCTTCCTTTAATGAACTGTGCTTTATTCTTTTTCAAATTCTTAGAACTACTACATTCTCTGGTAAAGAATAAAAGTTTATAAATGTTTTCTGGATGAATAATTGAACAAGGACATGAGAAGTTAATCAGTAATCTTATTCAATGAATTAGTATAAACCTGTTTGATTTACCATATATTTTCTGAATCAGTGATAGGCAGCAGTGCTCTAGAGAGGCCAGAGATAGTAAATGCTCAAGAATGGGTGCCTGCAGTGCTGCTGGGGAGGATCATGTTTAATATTTGATGATTAAAATGCCTTAGGGGTGCATACAACTTTAAGCCTATTACTTAAAGCATAATGCAGTGCAGTAACATTTAAAACCTCTTTTCTTAACTGCTCAGGCTACCAGTGCTCTCTAACCAGGAAAAGGAAAGTTGACTGATCTTAAACTGAAAAGCCGTATGCACACTTAACAGATTGTAAACTCTGAGAGGGCAGGACTGTAACTGTCTCACTGTTATGTTCCAGATTCAGGCATAGGGTAGATCCTTAATAAACAAATGCCTGTTGAATTCATGAAAGAATAAGATCTCCTGCTCACAAGAAAAGGGGTATCATGAAAAGATTTGTCCAAAATCCAAACTTTGGTTTTTATGAATTGTATTTAAGAGCAGTTAGTGTATTGGTGAATTGGGTTTCTGTTCTTCTCAGCACTTGTTGTTTATTCTGATGAGTGGAGTACTTAATACAGAAATTAAGCTTTTTAAAAAAATGAGTGTTTGACCAGCATACCAGGGAGTCAGACTCAGCAATCATATGTTTATATACTAATGTCCTCAAACAAATGAGGCAAAAATTCCCGTTACATTAAAGTTGAGAGTAGAAGGCTACATTGTGGATACCCCTATTGTTCTTATTCCTGGTAGGCACTTGTTTTGCGTTTATTGGTAGCATATCTAAATAGTTTTTTATAATGTAAGATTTTCTTGAGAGGGGAATGTTTGGATTTCTCCCTTGACAGTAAAGTTATATTTTGGAGAGACATTTTAAGGCTGTGTTTTTCATTAAAATTCGTCTTTTTCTTTAAAGGGTATACCTCAATTACCATGTGCCAAAGCATTATACAACTATGAAGGAAAAGAACCTGGAGACCTTAAATTCAGCAAAGGTGACATCATCATTTTGCGACGACAAGTGGATGAAAATTGGTACCATGGGGAAGTTAATGGAATCCATGGCTTTTTCCCCACCAATTTTGTGCAGATTATTAAACCATTACCTCAGCCCCCACCTCAGTGCAAAGCACTTTATGACTTTGAAGTGAAAGACAAGGAAGCAGACAAAGATTGCCTTCCATTTGCAAAGGTAAGTGGAATTAGAATGAAATTTAGCCATTCTTTTGCACCTGAAATATTGCTGATACTGCCTTTTACAACAAGATAATTTTGTGTGAACCATCTAACTGCACTTCTAAAAATACCTCACAACAGTCTTCTTGAAGAAAAATAATTTTGTACAGACTTTTATGAGAGATAATTTTGATTGATACTCTATATGATGGTGTTTTTATATTCAGAGCTTACATTTATTTCTAAGCCACTTTAAAGGGTATGTGTGGCACCTAGGAATTTTAAAGTACTGAATTATGAATAAAAAATGAAATAAAATTATTTTATACATAAATTTATTTGTTTAAGAGCAGAAAGATATTTACTGAACTGATAAAATGGCTTGGAAGTTTAAAGTAGAATATTGTTTTTGTAAAGAAAAGCAATAGAACATACATTTGAATGGACATTTGGCATCTTAGAAAGGGAGAAGTATCTGAGGATCAATTAAACACAAATTCAAGATGCTAGGGTGAGTGTCACTTGAATGTGCAGTTTATGGATCTAAGCAGCCAGCCACTTGTGCAGAAGTTCATAGTTTTATAGCTAAAAAAGAAAAAACCCAGATTGACTAGTTCATGAGAACACTGAATCTGTGTACTAGAGTTGTGCTATAGCATTTTTATTTATCTACTGTTGAAACTTGAGTCCTTTTATTGAGATAGAAAATTAAATAACAAACTTAGGGAGACTCATGCTTTGTTATTTCTTCAGGATGACGTTCTGACTGTGATCCGCAGAGTGGATGAAAACTGGGCTGAAGGAATGCTGGCAGACAAAATAGGAATATTTCCAATTTCATATGTTGAGGTAAGTTAGCCTATAAAATCCTGAATTGTGTTAATACTCATCTTAGTAAATATATCTTAAATGTGTAGTTGGAGTATTAAGAAGTGCTCACAACGCAAAGCCCCAGGAGTGTTCTCTTCAGGATCACTGGATGGATCGGGAAGAATTCCTTCATCTGCCCTTCAGTAACTGAAGACAATGGAATGTTTGAAACCTTTTTATGTCTTGTTAAAGGTAACATATTCCTACTGTCCGTCATCTGTCCAATTCCAGTTGTTCTGTTTCCTTTTCTGGCTTTGGGATCAGAAAGTTAAATAAGTTCCTGAATCAAGTGAAAGATTTATGAATTTATTTATTTCTTCCATTAATGACCACATCATCAGAACTAGACTAATGAGTCATAGAATAATAAGCAGTTTATTTATTAAATGAACAACTCTTTCTCAACCACATGCTAGTAATTTCTTAGCCCCTCCCTCCCCTTTTAATTACTTAATATTACTTAGAAAAGTTGTCGTCAAACTTCACTTAGCGAAGTCTTTTTAAAGAGTATCATAAAGTATCATGGTTCTGTTATTTTAAAGAAAAGCAGAAATTAAAGGGCCGAGGGTTTAACTCAATGGCGTAAGTGCCTGCTTGGCAAATGCGAGGTTATGAGTTTGACCCCGGCACCAAAAAAAAAAGCAGAAATGAGAAGTGATCTAAGAAGTTACAGTATATACTAGATCTTCATTGTATCATATATCATAAATTGTTCTTTAGTAATAATCATTCTTTGCTGAAAACAAAATTAAAGACACTTTCAAGAATAAAACAACCACAGGCCAAACAAGGTTATTGAGGTCACAGAGGTTCTGGAAGGACACCTGTGTGATAGATACATAGAGGTTCATCGAGAAACGCAAAAGAGGCATTTTATGACAGGAAGAACACCCAGGCAGGGTGACCAGAATGTGCAAAAAGCCAAAATGAAAGAGAGTGCATAGGTTATTTGGGGGAGCTGAGTAATTCTGTTGTTTAAAATACCAGTGCATATACCTTAAGCGTGTAAAAAGAAAGATACTATCACTTGTATTTTGCCATGTTTTTATCTGATTCTGAAGGCTAAAATGACAAATTATGTCATTATAGCTAATACTCAGTTTCCTCTTTAGGCAGTGAGACTGCCAAAGTTTTCATAAAAAATCAGCTTGTGTACCATATATTCATGGGAAAGTAATTCAAACTCCATAAAGTCTTGAGTTTTATCCATACTCTTCAGATGTTTCTGGTTTTTGAAATATTTTTTCTTATTTGAAAGTAAACAACAGACAAAATGTCCTTCACAGGCGGTCTTTCTTGTACATTATTTGTATAGTCTAAATGTGGGTCATGGAAAACTACAGGCATTTCCAAATATTTGAATAATTACATTAAAGATCACAATCACAAGTTCAGTAATGAAAGCCTGTTTTTACTTGTTAGGTATTATCAATATTACATGCTGACACTTAGTTTGTGATGCATGAAAAGGCATAGCTATATTTTTGTTATTTGGTAGGTGTAGATCGTGCAGATAGGCATTAATAGATCTACCCACAGGAAGTCCAGAATCACTTCCAGTCATTTGAGTCATTACGATTATTTACTCTGACTTAAATTGGAAAGGTAAACTTCTACCCAAGTGGAAAGTACTTTCATTCTTTTTCCTCTTTCTTTTAAATGAATATTTTCCTTTTTTGAATCAGAGTTCTGCTAGCTAAGATTTGATAAACAAATCATCTGTCTTAACGAGCCTGTGAACTTGTCTTTGATGTCAGGCCATCAGATTGGAGCTCCTGGTAGGGAGCAGAGCATCTGGGGATTAGTGACACCTGGCTCAGCCCCTGAGGGGATTGAAATAGAGGCAGATTTCCATTGCAGCCTACCACAACCCAGCCATTTCAGTAATGTTGAGTGTCTTGCAAGGCAGTTTCAGATATGGAAAGGCAAACTATGGAAATAAAAAAGAGGCCTTTCTCCTGTTTTATAAACCCTATTTATAATTTGCCCACATTAGGGCCCAGACAGACCGGAATATAAAAATAAATCATGAAGGGGCTGGGGATTTAGCTCAGCGGCATAAGCACCTGCCTTGCAAGCAGGCAGTCGTGAGTTCGATCCCTGATACCAGGAAAAAGGAAAAAGACAAAAATAAATAATAAATAAATAAATAAATCATGATAAGAGTTCACTGGTAAATAATTCTTATATTTTATAAGCAGACATTTAAATCTCCATCAATGTTAGGTACTTGGGTGGGAGGTTTTGTTTAACACTGCTGCCCAAACATAGTTATCTTCAGAGCTTTTGCGAAGATCAAATAAAATAATACACTCAGGCAGTTTTGCAGCTGTATGTCTTATATAAAGTGATTTGGAGCTCAGATTAGACCATAATCCAGATTGTGCCAGAGTATAGTAATTTTCAAATAAAAGAACCGTGCCATCATGTACAATGAGGAAAATATATTCACAGTTGGGTTCTGAGTCACCAGAGCCGTATCTTAGCTTACACAGACCCCTAACAAAGTCTGAAACTCCCCTTGGTTGGTTTTGGTAGTGGAAATGCCCAAGAGACTTGGTTGTGGCAGAAGCTTTAAACTGGATGAGTCTGGCTGTAGCATTATGAGACTGGATTGGGTTAGTGATTCAGATATTGAATTGTGGAACTAGGGAGAGAAGAAGATAAGGGAGATCAAAAAGCCAACATCAGAAATGCAAGGATTGGTGCTGGGGAGAATTGAGGTGGTGAGACATGCTGCTGGAATAGGACACCCTCCTTCCTGTCTTCAGTGATCTTTCTCTATTCTTTCAACATCCCATAACTGTGGTCTGTGATCTCTACCTGCATTGAATGAGGGGATAAAATAGGAGTAATATCATGGTTTGCAAACGGATTTCCTATTAAAGTGAAATGCAAGATTCTTCGGGGGTTAAATAGAGATAGAGAGTCTCTGGTGGGAGTTAGTGAATAACAGAAAGAATTGCTATGCAAGCGGCCCTGAGTTTTGTCACTTGGAGTTCTTGTTTAGCTCTTATGATGAAGCTTCTTTTGTTTTGATGTCATGATTCACCTTTTGTCTTTAAAGAGTCTCTCAGCAGTCTTCTCTTTGGCCATGCCTTGGATGTTGTGGATTATATCTATTTAGACAAGCTTTTCCTTGGCCTTGCAGGTTGTGGAATTTATTCTGTTTAGATAGGCTCTTTGTTGCCTTGAGCAGGTTGAAAAGCAGTGAGGGGTAACAGTTTCCTGGGGAAGCCCGGGGAATTCTTGAAGACATAGTATGAGGATATGTACAGAAAGGGTGCATTTATCAACAAATTTGTTGCCTGCTTCTCTCAGTTAAAAAATAATGAGTTTTTTACACAATGAGATGGAAGATTTTAACAAGCCCATTAATTTGGAACTGACTCATTTGATTTCAGCAGTCATTTAGACAAGGATGACACAATTTCTAGCAGGCAAAAAGTTTGAATGAGGTAAGTGCTAGATAAAGGATTTTGCCTGTTTTTCAAATGTGGTATATTGTAGGATTATAATGAACTACACATCTTCATTAAGTTTCTCATCTTATTTTGCTTCCTAGTCATTTGTTTGACATATCACTTACCCAAGTTTTTCAACAACAAAAATACTATTTAGCAACTTGCTTCTTTGACATAAATAATATAAAGATAAGCCTTCCTTGGCATGACGTGTAGTGGAAGTGCCTCCTAGACAACTGTTCTTCCTCTCGTTACTGCCAGAAAGAAGGGCTGTTTACTCGTTCTTTAAATCTCACTCCAGATGTCATCCTCCTGACAGATTTTCCCTCACTATCTTGTCAGAATTAAGTCCTCCTCACCATTTGCTTTACCTCAAACACTCAATGGTGAGGGGGCGGGGGGAGACACGGACTCTGCAGCTAGATGATGACTAGGATGCAGGTTCGGGCTCTACCACTGATAATGTGTTATTTGGGGCCTGGTCTTCTTATTTTAGAAATAAAGATCTTCTGTATCAGATGCATTAATTCCGTGACACTTAAGAATAGTGTCTGGTATAAGCACCTGCCTTGCAAGCAGGCAGTCGTGAGTTCGATCCCTGGTACCCATAAAAATGAAAAAGACCCCCCCCCCCAAAAAAAATAGTGTCTGACACTCTGCAAGAGCTTTGTAAGTGATTGCTATGATTAGTGTCACATTGTTCCTCCATAGCACTTTGTACTAACTATTCCAGGTCATTGTGGTGGTGACATTAGAAGGGAACCCCGAGGGCCTTGACTTCTTGGCCTACCTCTGTCTCCTGGGGTTCTCACACAGTGCCTGCTCACAGTGGGCTCTCAGTAAATGTTGCTCCAGTGACTGAAAAGCAGTCTAAGAGCTTGTAGAAGAAAAGTTCAAACCAAAAAACTGGATTGTAGATTTTTGCCCCGTTTTTTAACTAAAGTTTTCAGCTAATATTTCTGTCATTCTCTACCAGCCATATATTTTGTTACTGGTGTATCTTGGTTTTATATCAGGAAGTTACATTCCTCAAAGTCACTGGGTCTGCGTGACCTTAGTGAGAGTGCTTTCTTTCTTTTTTTAAACTAGATTGAGTGAGTACTTGGTTATGTCAATTTTAGAATTTTTCTAGACCAAAATAATAGTAGCCATACCATGTGGAATGATCTTACAAGTGCTCCTATTTATTTGTAATGTAGACTCCCTGGTGGGAAAGCAGAGTTGCGGAGATATTGGCCAAGGATATACCATTTTAGTTAGAAGGAATAAGTTCTGCTGGCTCTGGGATAAAGTACATTATCAGAATTAACAATGAAAAATCAAATGTGCAGAGCACAGCACAAATGACCTTAAATTTATGGTTCTGGCTTTCTCTTCTGTGCATTTAGGGAACTGGAAGATACTCTGTGTTCCACACAAGTAGCAGAAGTTGAGTTGTATAGTTTGAAATCGTCAAGGTGACTCTTGGAGGAACTAAGAATAGCAATGTTAATTTTATTTTATTTTTTTTTTTAA